TTTCACGATTTAACATCTACCCTGGAAAATAATAATCTTCTTTCCCTGTGTTGTATCGCAATTAAATGAATATGAATATGCGTTTCAAAATGATGAAAATAATAATCTTCTTTCCCTTTGTTGTATCAGAATTAAATGAATATGAATATGCGTTTTAAATTTATTAAATGTAAACATGTAACAAACTTTTACAACGTTAATAAATTTTTCCTGCAAAAGTTGCTTTGAACATGTACATGTATTGACAGTTTAATGCAAAATTAGTACGGTAGAAATCTGCTCAAAACATTGGCGTCGGAAGCAAAATGAAAGCTAGGGGGGGGGGGGGGGGGGGGGTAGGTATAAGGAATTTTTAAACCTTCCAAAAGACCTGACAAGCAATTAAAAAAAAAGGAAATGTGCATTGGTTAAACACGAAAATCCAATTATGTTGGAGGAGGGAGGGGGGGGGTAGGTTCGAACTCCAAACCTTTTTTTCCAAACACACCACTTTCCCCATTTTACGCCTATATTGCAACATGTCAATGGAAAGGGAAAGTGGGGGGGGGGGGGGCTAAGCCTACGCAGCAATGTCCAATGACTATATTAAGTATATCTTAATATAGAGAAAAAAAGGGGGCTAATCCCCTCCTACCCCCCTCCCTCCCCCCGGGTTCCGACACTTATGCAAAATATATTAATCCGATGTAATTTATATGCCTATATTTGTTCAATATATATGGAAGTTGGAGTATGTAAATACTTGTATCTGAATATATCATACTTAAGTCAATGATCAATTCGCTCTATATTCTATGATAAAGGATTTATCGAACATAAAAAATACATGTTGGTCGGCTTGAATATTGCGTGATTGATCAACTAACCCATTCATACAGCTTCTCGTGTATGTAAAAAAAATGTATAAATAACAAGAATTAAGTATTTTTAAGAAAAAAAAAATAACAAAAGTTACAGCTTAAGATGTGTGCCTTGTTCTTGTTTAATTAATTAAATCAGGTAATCAATTAAGCGTGAATGTCCATAGCTGAGACATGCCCCCTCCCGTTTACGATGATCGAAGAATATTACATGTAAAAATGTTTTACCCGTTCTCTTACTTTCTGTTGCTATTTTTGACATGCGTGTTTTAACCAATACTAAAATGTAACTAGCATTTAAAATGATTTAAATAAATCATAATGTGTGCATGTACTTTCTCAGGAAGGTAAAAGTGAAGCTAAGTATAAGCCTTACATTCTATTCCTGGAAATGAAGTTGTGGAGTGTACGTGTCACTTGTGGGATTCATATAAAATTTATATTCTGGTATTGTGGTTTGTTATTCGGCTTATATACAATGATCGGTTCAAAATTAATTCACGATTAACTTCATACATATAAATTGCAGATTTGTTTTTTAATTAACAAGATTTAAAAATACATATATGTTACTGGGTGGGGATGGATGTTACATTCTGATTCACTGAAAAGTACGCATGCAGACGCTTTTCTTTTTCGGATGTCGTTATGAAATCAGTCTTTCATTCACAATAAGAACTTGAAAGTTGTCAAATTTGTTTCCAATGCGTTTGTATAATTCAATAAATGCATGTTTAAATCAAATCAATGAAGATTAGGTGCATCAAATTTTAAAGTGTTCAATCATTATTTCTTGGTAATTTTTAATATATATGATTCATTTTTCCTGGCCTTCCGTTTCCTATTTTATATTTATGTTTAAATTATTGAAAAGAAATATATTTAGAAGAAAAGGATCAAACTCTTCTACAAGACTAGAGACAAATACAATTTGTTCTTGGGTGCAGAATATCTTTTCAATAAGCCAAGAAGTCCTCCGTATTAAAACATTCGAAACTAAAACATGCAAATAGTTATTTTGTGTTAAAAGAAATGATATTTTCCCTTTGCATATAAAACAGAAAACTGTCGCACTCTTTAAAAAATTTCAGGTACTATGACAATTCTTTCTATCTATTCGTAAATTGTATAGACTTATAATGACCTGGGGGTGTGGAGTAAAGACTGTCCCGAACTAAATACTTTGATAGTGTAACAGAGAAAATTACGTGCCTCTGCTTAATTGGGATAGAACCCAACGCCTCTGTGCTTTACCGAATAAGCTTAAGGGTTATCCCACTAGCGTAAGCTAGTAGGAAGCAGTACGTGTGTCGTTTGTACTACCACAATAGGACTTTTTTATCCAAATGTTGCAAAATTTCTTTTACTCTTGCAGTGATGTAGATTTCTGCCATTTTACTGTATTAAAACGCCATAAATTGGAAGATCTCCCAGGTTAAGAGAAGATTTTTTGATTTTGTCTTGAGTTTTTCCCTTGATGATCATTTCGGGCCCCCCCCCCCCCCCGTCATTCGTTTCTCAAAGATATACTTTAGAATGTTTATTTTCTAGTATTACGATGAAAATATCCTTAATTGTTGATACTTTGAAGGAAATCAAATCAAAAGTTTAATAATAATAAATATCATCAAATTATTATGAAGCTTTACGTCATTTTACGATTTTACGTTAAAAAATTCATGCAGTTAATGCACGCGTATACTGTACGTCAAAGTAAATATTCCGTCTTTGTCATGCGATTTTTTATACATTTATGTACAGAAATATATGTCATGTTATACATCAAAAGAAAGAGAAAGAAAAACTCTACAAGAATCAATAAAAAAACTGAAAAAGTCAAAATTCTTCGATAAGGGAGGTTTTTGCTTGGCGCGTCACATATTTATTACATACTTAGTAATAAAATACAGTTGAGAAGAAAATAAGTAAATAATCATGCATGGACTTCTTACATACATGTACATAGTCTAATGTCTCATAAGATTTGGGTTTGTTTCTATTTCTATTTCAATGCACTTGATTTGTAATTTGAAAATATTCTATAGTATTACATGTATTTGTAAATTAAGATTAACCTTATTTTCAAAAAGTTAAAATTAAGAGAATATGAACCCACCAAAAATTGTGTATGAGTACAAGTACTGTTATTGTGGTTTAATTTACTAAGGGTGTGATATTGACGTCACAATAGCCGTATCAGCCCTGCAGGGCGGATATGGATTTGCAGGGCTGATACGGATATCAGCCCCGCAAATCCATATCAGCCCTGCAGGGTTGATACGGCTATTGTGACGTCAGCCATATCGCATATGCAAAAAACCTGTATTTATTACTAAGTGTGTAATAAAAAAGAGTATCGTTTGAAATGTTCGCGGACAAGTTCTATCCTGAGCTCGCAATTTCCATAGATCCGGTAAAACTCTCCAGATAAACACTGGGCATGCTACTTTTTCGCACATTTATATCACAGACTTTTAACTGAAATTAAGAATTGCACAGTTGTAGCGCAAAAAGACTAATGATATTTTACCTGTGTCTACAGTATTCATAATACCTCACTTGGTTAAATTTTGAATTAAATTATAGGATATATGACTGTTTTACAGTCATTTTTAAATAATCAACGCTTTAAAACAAACCCAAGAAAATTAGGACGCTATTGAACGTCATGGGGCACCTTGCTACAAAAAATTTATATGTGCAGACAAGAAAATGTCTTTTTAAAATGCTTCTAGATGCAGCTGGGAATTGCCAACACGTGCAAAGGACAGAGGTGTTCATAAGGTAGTAGCTTTGAAAGAATGGAAGGATTAACATTTTTAATGATTATAACTCGTGCGATACCTCAATATCCCATTTATCGCACGGACGTTGCGCCTATAAATTTTGCATTGTTTCCATAACTTATCGCTTTACTGTATAGATATTTATTTGAAGATCTCAATAATATCTTAGTAGAAAAGTACATGTCTTGAATAATGTTGATATAGATATTCAATCTTTAAGTAGAAAAAAGACAAGAAAAATCTAAAGAAATGATAGTTTTTAGAACTGTGAAAAAGCTTAACGAGTTTGATCCGTGTCATGTCACTTAAAGGGGCATGGACTCAGTTTCAGCTAAAATTTCAAAACTTATCTTGCCATTTTTACAATTACACTGTATTTAACTAGGGTCTTTCTAATGATCATTAAAACTTTGAACTTCAGTTGTCAAGATGCAAGACAGAATTAGAGCTCTTTTGTTATGTAAACAAGGTCCGTGTCATATTTTTGTTTACATAGGTTAATATACTGATACATGTTCGTTCAAAGTATAATTTTAATAAAAAGTTAATTTTAAATACGATTTGACAGTTTCTATTGGTTTGCCGAATTTTCTTTTTTTTATATAAATATGATATTTTCTATATGTACACAAAAACAAGACACGAGCCTTGTTTACATTATGAAGAACTTTAAGTGCTGTACTCGTTTGTTAATCAACATATGATGTTCAAATTTTTGATAATCATTAGATGATGCCTTAGGTAGGGATTGTAAACATTGGTTTAAAAAATTCAGTTGAAACTATGTCCATGCTCCTTTAACGTCAAGTGATGGCTCTGTGAATCTTCTCACCGCATAGAAAAAATCGTAGAAAATTTTAAATATATAAGAAAATAGACATGATTTTTTTTTTTAAATACTAATAAACAAATGATAGGAATTAAATCAGACATAGGTCATACTTCACAGTTTACGAAAGATTTTCCCTTAAATCAATGTCTATAAATCTATAGGACTTTCGTTGCCATTTTAACAGGGTCCGGGAGGAATGGGGTTTACTATATTATTTAGTTCAAAATGTATTTTATTCAGTAAATTGGATTGAACAGCATGCATAAATGCCTATTATCATTCTCTCGATATATCATTTCAATAACTCTAAAAATCAAAAGAGGGTGGACACCATTACCCTCTCCCTCTATCGGCGCATAAATACACAATTTACTCAATCTGAAAATTATTTTCAAAAGATATAAAATAATTTATCTTAAATTATGGTTGTGTCATCACTCTTATTATGTATTTATTTATTTAAGTAGTAAGTGCATTAATTTTGCGATCAGTATTAAAATTAATGCACATGCATTAACTGACCTTCATTCTTCTTTTTCTGGTCTTCTTTCGTCGTCTTTACGGATATGTATTTTGAATCTAAAATAGAAAACTTTATTTTTCTTCAAAAACTTATAAATATATACAATGTGCGATATGATTATTCTTAAATCTGTATGCCTATCTTTAATAAATTTACGCAAAAAATGCTAATTTTTGAATACAATTTCAAAATATACCGTAAGGACATGTACGTAATAGACTTGATTCAAACATATCATTTAAAATTTTAACAAGACATATTTTGAACTTTTTCACAATACAATGAATTCCCAAATAAGATAAGTGCTATTTTGTCATGTAGACAGAGTTATTATCTTTTTCGTTACCGTTAGGATTTTCTCCGGCAGGTACATTTTCTATATCCTCCTCTGAAAAATATTTCATCAGTAAAAATAGTATACTGTCTTAAAAACTATTGCAGAAAGTTCATGGAAAATTCAAAACTTAAATCTTTCTAAACACAAGTGTAAAAAAGTAAAAGAGTCCCATAGACACACATACATAAAGTAAAAAAATATAAATATATTCTTTATGCACAAAAGTACATGAAGAAAAGTTTTAAGGTCATCTGAGATATGTCTGCTTTTTCTATCCCAACTCAGAGTAAAATTTTGTGTCGGTAGTTAAGAGGATTTTTTTTTTAATTCAAAACTTCTTGCAAATATGACGTTATAATTTAATACATGTAATGGGAAATTGTGATTTTGACATTTTTAGTCAGTTGGTCTAGAAAAAGCAAACATTTTTTTTTTAAATATGGCCTCAATACAAAATTTCTCGTATACTAGTACATAAAATACGGCACAAACTAGATAAACTAACTAACTTCTTGGTGAACAAGGAAGATCCTTTGGATCTAAACAACTTGTGGATTGTCCTTTTTAAACAAATGTAAAGATGGAATTATCTAAAATTTTGTTTAATAACCTTTTAGTAAAATTGCATAGGTTTATTTATGTTCAGAAATTAAAAAAAAATACTGTGCCTTTTTCGTCAGAGACTGAATGGTAAGGAGGCTCTCGTATCATCGGTTCATTTTCTGGTAATATTAATTCTTCAATTGTTGTATCTTGAAAAAAAATGTTTTGAATGGTTAACAATACGAAAAATGAAAAAAAAGTGAGAGTGCTTATGTATCTTGATAATGAATTTACCAAGGACACGATTACGATCATTTCATTTCGTTCACCTTGTTGTCTTATAATACCACATACACGATAGAGGCTCAAATATAATACTTAAAAAGTCAACAATATTCAGAAGATTCACTGTCAATAAAAACTGCTACTGTCAGGACACGACATTGTCCAGCCTTGTTACTACCATTTGTCCATTTCTAATAGTAATGTTCAAAAATAAATAATAGCATTTGGCTGGATCACAGTTTAAAGAATTCATGTATGGTTGATCACAATGCATCATTAAAACAACTGCTCAAACAAGCTAATGGCATATTTTAAAATCCAAAATACATTGTACGACCAGTTCCGGACCCAGATTAGCAAAGGTTCTGGGCAATTTTGCGTGTTTTCAAACTGACTGTAGAGAAAACCACATTGCTTTTTTGGTATTCTGACGTCATACAAAGCCTTCTACCTTTGTCTTGACCATTCAAGACTCATCCCTATGCCATTGGGCGGAAAGCCGAGAAGATTCATCAAGGCTACTGAATTGCCCATATATTATTTTTTGCCCAAACAGCACAAATTAGGTGTGACTGGTGGGTGATGCTTACTCCGCTATGGCACCTGATCTCATTTCTGATGTTTTAGAGGTCCCCGTTTGCTCTGCTCTCGATTTGTATTGTTTCAATCTATTTTGAGCGTTGATATATGTTCGTTCTCGCAATATTTCAATTCTGGAACTTAAAATCAAAACAAAATTTCTGCTCTGATTCATAACAAACCTGGTCCTGGGTTTATGAAGAATCTTAAGTTTAAGTCAAAAAAAGGCATTTGCCAGTTAAAAATATTGCAAAACTAAAATAGAAAGAAAACGTTCAACTTTACCAGGTTTTATTTGATGCTATTGGTATTTAATTTCAATGAAACAGCAGGTATGCTTATGAGGCTTATGCTATGATATATCTTAGGACTAAATGTGACACATCGTAGTCTTACGTGAGGCCAAAAAAGCTGTTCTATCTTAGGAGACTTTCTAATCCTTGTGCCAACTTCAAGCTAATATCCTAAGACATAACTTAAGTGATATAAGAAGCGCTAGAGCCAGGGAAAAAAGCTTCGATTATGAAATAATCTTTGTAAAACATTACTTTCTTTTATGAATCAAACAAGTTGAGTAGACATTGTGCCATGTGACTGTACAAGTATTTGTATGCATTTATCCGTACAAATAGGAAATGGTGATAAATGAAATTAAATGCAATCACTGATTAACGAATGAATCACATATAAAGCAGGTGAAAATGTTTATAAAAGTTACAACTATGTGGATGCTAGCGAGCACTATCCCTCCCCTTCCTACAGAGAGAGAAGAGAGAGACATTAAAAATTTTAATTTGGCCCGTGTTACCTAGAGGGATGGGGTTCGCAAGTCATAATATCTAAGTTTATAACTCTAAAAAAAATCCTAAGGAGCCTTGATCTCATGACCCCCCCCCCCCCCCGGCCCGCTGGAAAAGTAATATCTTAAGATAAATGTTTTCATGGAATGCTTTTGTTCTTAGATACATGAATGTTTTCACTCTAAGCCAAGTCTTACGACTCATCCTAGGAAATTTTTATAAGCATGCCTGTACATGATTTCGTATACTAGTATATGAAGAACATTATTGTGCACACTTACCTATTTCATTGAGTATTAATATTCCAGTTACTTTGCTCGTATGTTACAACGTACTTTGAAAAATTACTTTGGGACCAAATTAACGCACTTTGAAAAATAAAATTTCTTTACAAAGTGTGTTAATATCGACCATATTAACGCACTTTGAAAATTTTGTGTGGCCAGGGGCTCGTATCATAAAGACTACTTAAGTCTAAGACCGTGCTTAAGCAGGACTTAAGTACAGTATAAATCGACCGTAACTAGAAGCGTACTTAGATTTGGCAATCTTAGCAAAACTTAGGCGGCCCGTAGAGGTGACTTAAGTATATCTTAACTTTCTTATACATATATTTAGAATTATTTTATGTTGACTTTTGATATTAAAACATTTCTCTATTCATATTATGCATTAAAGAGAATATTATATCTATTTGACGCTGACTTAAGAATTTTAGTTTTTCGTTGGGGGGGGGGGGGGGGGGGGGGGGGGCTGATTACTGATTCCAATACCGCTATCAACACAGCATATATCGGTTATCTTGTCTTGTCAGCGATAACAACAGGGTAAGTGGTGAACATTTGTCAAAATGAAAGAGTTACAAAAGGTAAACTGAAAACATCTAAGGTGATAAAACAAGTACCGTACATTTACACTGAACTACAAATCGCCACTTTCTGACCGTGCAGTATATGTTTTCAAACATTCCGAATAATTTATAACACGATTACAATTTTCACACGAAATTTAATCTAACATAACTAAAACCGATAGAAAAGGACGTCAACATTAATATGTATTTAATTAAAGCCTTAACTGAACCTCTTTTAGCAATATATCTACATAAAATGAAAAACCATAAGATGACTCGTATGAAATATTTTTAACATAAGTTTGACTTAGCTAGGACCTAGTTAAGTTCGCTTTATGTTACGGTTTAAGACATACTTAAGTAGTACTTAGACAGGTCCTAAGATTATGCCTAAAACGTACTTACGACCCTACTTAAGTCAAAAACTTAGCAAGCTTTATGTTACGAGCCCCAGGTAAGATAAATAATTGGTTCCGTTTAATAACTCTTCGGTGATGAGGTCCCTTCAGAACGTTAAAGTGAGCTATTTTGATTTTTTCATACTTTGAAAATTCTATCTCTCTTAAATGTTTTACTGTACATGTACTTAATTTTTCAGTTTGCATGCATTTATATGTAAACTAAAATTTATTGAAAAGTTTTCAACGTCATGCCAGTTATACAAATACATATATTTTGGTGAAGCATAGACATCGGTACCGGGACGGGGGTCTTAAGCACACAAATGTTTTGCAACGATATATTGGCATTGAAATTTGGGGCTTACCTTTGAGGGGGTGTCCACTTTCAATTTGCTACAGACGGCTAAGTACAATGTATAAGAAAAAGAGTTGGGCTGAGAGCCCTTCTACTCGTCTTCTCCTTGTTCCCAATGAGTTTAAATGAGTACATGTAAATTAAAACGTTTTTTGAAAGATATAACTAATACAAATTGATTCTCTCAATTACTAAAATCTAAGTCAAAATTTTTTAGTTCAATTACATATTTTTTTCAAAGTGCGTTAAATGTCCGCAAGGTAAAAAATATTTATACATGTACACTCTTAACGCACTTTGAAAAATTTTTTCAAAGTGCGTTCATTTTGTCCCAAATTTAACGCACTTTGAAAAAAAAATTCAAAGTGCGTAATTTTTTCAAAGTCCGTTGCCACACTGATATTTAAAATGCACTTAATATACAATTATAAAAATCTGCAGGTTGTTTTATACAATTTACAGTATCGTGAGTTCACTAAAATAATTAATAGTTGATTGATTGATTGTATATTGTTTAACGTCCCTCTCGAGAATTTTTCACTCATAGGGAGACGTCACCGTATGCCGGTGAAGGGCTTCAAATTTTTTACCTTTACTCGCACTCAGGGCCATTGAGCAGTAAGGGATCATTATCGTGCCAACACCTGTCGCTGACACGGGGCCTCGGTTTTTAAGGTCTCATCCGAAGGACCCGAAATAATTAATAGTAAAATATGAAGAAAAAAAATTAATATATTAATAGTTTTTTTATGATATGAAAAAATATACCTTACCTTGTTGGCTTCTGACTTTTCTCCAGATCCTGTATTTTTCTAGAAAAATCCAAAGAAGGATGTAAACCTAACTTTATTGCCAACTTTCCTACGAGTTTGAAAAGCCAAGATTAAAACTGAAATTACCATTTATTAAGTTTGAAAAGCCAGGTTTAAAGTTGGGATAACCAACTGCGAAGTTGGAATATCCAAGATTAAAGGTGGAATACCAAGTTGGAATTATCAACTTTAAAGGTGGAAAAACCAAGATTAAAGTTGTTTTATGATATGATTTACAATATTTAATTTTGTTTATTCAAAAACTAAATATATCTTATGAGCACTTGTACCTACATTTTGATTTAGTTGAATAAATGAAAATAGAAATAAACATTTCTTAGAAATTGAAAGCTACTTATGATAAATTAAGGGAGGAGATTTGTTCTATTTGATCTGTACCTGTCTAAAAGCCAATACAGGCATTGTACATGGGGATCGGTTGAGGATTGTCATGGTGTACACGGCTTGATTAAGGGGTGCCCAAACACAAGAGAACCGTGTAACAACCCGTGTGCTGCATGATTCTTCGTTTCTTGATTAAATGCATATTTTTTTTATATAAATCCTAATAAATCCTGTATAATGGATTCTTTCTGACTTTTAGTACGGATACTTAATTTTGTCCTAAAGTTACCTGAAAATTACTATAGAGTATATTTTTTTATTAAAAAAAAGAAAAATATATTTACATACCTGGTATTCTCTTTCGGTTTAGAATAACTATATTTGTAAGACAAGATAATACTATAAGAAAACTGAGAATAGTGGAGACAATGGTAAGCGATGATTCCAGGTGGGCGCAGTTTATGTTTTCTGAAAGGGACATGCCCGTTGAAATGATGGTTTCAGTGACAGAAGCAATCGTAGTGCTGAAAATTATGTATTTAAAGAGAAACTAAGTAACGAGTTATCAATATGTCATATGTAGATTACAGGAACATTTATCAATTAATATTCTTACTTACCTTGCAAATTCACAACTAGGGTCAGCAACATAACATTTTCCATATAGATTGATTCTTGAACAATTTGGATCTAAAAATATGTTGAGTAAAAGTGTTCAGACATGCATGTATATTATGTAATCAACTGCAATATTGTAACATGTAATCAACTGCAATATTGTAACATGTAATCAACTGCAATATTGTAACATGTATAACATTGAATAATTACAGAGATAGGACTCATCACTGTAATAGTATTTCTCTGGACAGCCACTGAGAAAATTCTTGCACCAATGTTGGTTGAGGGTCCCACTTTGGGCGAGTTCCATACAATTATCTGTATAAATATAAAGTACTATTCTGGACTCTTAAACACAATGATTTTCATGAAATTCAACTCTTGTAACATAAATAGGTTTTATTGTTGTTTTACCTTTCTGTACAAGTGGTCTGATAACATCGTAACAAAATTCCAGCAACGCTGTTTTCTGGCCGTTTGGTACACAATGGTACCTGTGAGTTTTAGTGTCATCATTGCTGCAGTTCAGTTGCCTCGATCTAAGGTCCCAGTCTGCCTTATTTTGAGGACAGGATTCCACAACGTAGACTGGTATGGGATAATCATGCTCCATCCTTTGAAATAGATATATATAGTAGTCTACTTTCGTTTCGTTAATTGCAGGCCTATTGATTTCAAGTAAGCCTACGGCGCCGCTGGAGGGCCAGGTAAATATTTTAGAATACAAGAAAACCGTTCGGTCAAATAAAAAATTCAATCGGACGAACTACACTGTAGGTATTCTTTCAGACAAATTATAGTTAAATTAGTTATTTTTTTCAGACGAATTTGATATAATTTGTTCGGACAGATTAAATATTTGTTTTGACGAATTAGACTTGGGGGGGGGGGCACAGCCAAACATTTTCAGTTGGGATATCAGCTACTAGTTAAAAATTCCTCGACAAACAAAATATATATTTATTTATTACTTCTGTAGTATTCTGTAGTATTCTATTATATCGGGAAAATTAAGGGTCTAAAACTTTCGAGGGGGGGGGGGGTATCAAAATGTAATTCGTCCGAACAAACTCAGTAATTTTTTTACCTGGTCCTACAGTGGCGCCGTAAAACTGAACCTTTTTGTCTTTAGAGAATGTTCAAATCTGGAATATCACGACATTGCTTCATGGTGAATAAATTTGAATTTGCAAGGGAACGTATATTCTAATTCTAATACAGGCTCATAAATAAAAACACATTATACTTAAGAAAAAAATCCACTTAATTTTAATTATCAAATTAGTGTGCATATATATTAGATCTATATTTCATATAACTGTATCATTTTGAAAGACTCCATAGTATTAAAAAAAAAACAGCAGAATAATTAAAAAAAGATTAATTGCCTTTCTGTTCTCTATTAAAAAATCTATCCATTTCTATTAAATGTCATACCTGTACCATTTTAAAAAGAATGTGGTTATAATTTTAAAAAGGTTTAATCTTCAAGGGATGTGACATACATTGGTATCAGCCCTGTAGATCCATGGATATCGATCAGCCCTGCAGTGACATAATGATAAAATCGGCTACAGAAAGCTTAATATTGTAATAAATGCCAAGGAAAGGTTGCACTTCTTTGTAATTTTGCAACATTTTGAAGTCACGTAACTTTTTATCTTTTTGGACAATTATGGTTTGGTCAGAAGGTACAGTTGTAACTGACAGAGCCTGCAAAAAAAAAAAAGATGTGTTTTGTGAAACACTATGCGTCCGGCGGCAACAACATTTGAAAAAGCTATTTTCAGCATATAGGTAACAGTCAAGGTCACAAGGTCATTGACCTTGGTGTCATTTGAAAGAACCTAATTAGTGGAGTAAGCATAGTTAGAATGATCTAACTGTGTCTCGGTACAAGCCCACACTAAATATGAAGTCTCTATCTCTTATGGTTCAAAAGTTATGGCGAAGGTACGAAAAAAGTATTTTTAGCATACAGGTCAAGGTCACAGGGTCATTGACCTTGGTGTCATTTGTGTTATTATATAGTAGAAAACTAAGCTTAATGTATGAAACAAGCGCCTGTGTATATGCACTATAATGCTCAACATTCAGTCATGGCCTTCGAGCAGTGAGGGATCTTTTCCGTGACAGCACCTACTGCGATACGGGGCCTCGGTTTATACGGTCTCATCCGAAGGACCGTCTTTACGTCCCACAGTGGGATTCGAACCCGCGACGTAAGGGTCAACTCCTTCAGTTACTTCGCGACTCTAGAGCAGGCGTTCTAACCACTGCGCCACGCGGACGATGACACTTGAAAAGTTCCGCATAACACTAGAAAAGTTCCGAGTGGTGTAGGAGTTTCACTTTCATTTTGCTGAAAACTTGGCCTGGGAAATACCACATGTGTCATTACTTATATAGTCCATTTATTTGGATATAGTTTGATATGTCTGGACCCCGTGTGATGTGTGTAGGACTTGCTTGTGTTGACATAATAAGTGTGTGCAAAAATTATCCCGAGGAAGACAGTGATCAAAGGCAAGCATATCATATGTGATATGAAAATAAAAACAATATATCTATGGTATTTACAACTGTACACCTGTAATCAACCAGCTGTCAACAGCTCGGATTTGGAACAGATGATAAATAGCTACTCAAATTTTATTTTACAAACGTTTTGTAAACTGTTCTTTGAAGTTTTTGTTCAGACGAGTTTTTGTCCGTATTCTTTCGACCCTTTTCCCGTGACATATTTTGCCTAGGAGTTATTCCCCTTAGCCGCCATCTTGTAGCTCTTGGCAAAGTAGTGAATTTACCTCTTTGAGCAACCAATTTTAAACATGCATGCAAGAAATAAATGGGGAAAATATCCACAATCTTATAATCATGAATTAATAGAGGCTTTAACAAACGTATGTTCATAAGAAAAATAGCATTATCTTTGCCTCAGTAACCATGGTAACCAGTATAACAAATTGAACTTGGTTGAATAATGAAGGGATCTGGAAATGTGCCCTACAATATGGCGGCTAAGGAGAATAACTCCTAGACAAAATATGTCATAGGAAAAGGGTCTATTGTAGAGAATGCATTAATCCATTCAATCATTCTCTCTTTCTCTAAAAAAAAAAAATGGAGTATAGAAACATAATTTATATTATTTTGATAGAGAAAAACAGACAATTTGAATGCAGGACTGATACTTAATATTTGCCATCAAATATCAACTAGAATATTTTTGTACAAGAAATCTTTTTTGATTTTACACATCGCATTTCATTTCAGAAGTTAGTGAAATTCATCTCCAATTTCATTATAATTATTGCAACCAATAACAATGATTTATCATTTATTTCGAATCTTTCATTACATTATTCCATCTACCCACCTTAACTGAAAGATGGTTGTTTTGCAAAATTACTCACTATTTTTCAGATTATTTAGTTCCGAGTTAAATAAATTAAGGTATTATTCATTATTATCATGATTATTTTTGTTGTTGTTACGTACATACATGTGGTGTATTTAGTCCTCTCTGTTACAGAGTGTTGGATTTCTATTGGCAGAAGGGAGGTAATGCCTCTAACACAAGCTCTGTTCTATCACTACTGGGAGCCCAGTCGGAGTATATGGGAAGCTTTGCTAATGATAATGAAATGAGGTAATGATTTAGTATTGAATTAAAGGAATCACTGTTTACTTTGTTAGGTATTGGGTATACAAAATTCAGAAAAATTAATGACAGGCTGATATACCCAATATTTACATCTGCCCATGTATAACTTTATTATAGCAATACCAAATATACTAGTATTGAAATTCAGTGCTTCAGTGACATGCAGTTGGTCACACAACCAGACATTCTTACGTATGATAAGTAAACTGCACGAGCCATTTTGAAATTGTGACATCACATGGCATCGTAGATATGTTATGTTGCATTTCCATAGCAAAGTCTTAAATAGTGCGTATATTTCTTTGTAAAAAGAATAAAAAAATAAAATAAATACAAGAAAAAAAAATCATTTTTTAGAGTTTCATTGGCCAGGTTATGACATGAAGTTGGTACATGTTCAAATCTACTATTATAAATGGGCATATTATACAATTTGATCATAGCCTAATGAAACACTAAAAATTATATCTTTAGTTATTTCTTAAGAAACTTAAAAGTGACTCTGTATTATTACATGCAACACTGTTGGATCTCAGCCAATTAGAAAGAGGGAAATTATTCAATCATATAATAAATGTATTTATTTTCTATTTTAATTGACGACAGGTTCTTGAAGGAGGACTTTGACAGTTTTGGGGTGTCTACCTCTCACTGTGTTACATACAAAACAGGCTACATCACTCCTACCTCTGTTATAATTGTAAACTCACAAAATGGATCCAGGACCATACTACATGCCAGCAAGTAAACTACAAGTATTTACAATTTGTATCACTTTCCTTCCCTGTTGGCTTAACTTTTTTGATTGTACATGACTACATACCCTATAAATATAACTTGGTTCATCACCAGTGTCCCGAGTTGTCCTTCTTTAATTATCATTCCTATGCTGATATCAGTGATAAAGGTATACAGTGAAGATTGATATAATAAATGAAAACTGAGTATTTCACATACAAAACTGTATTGCAATTATACATTAAACAAGAGGCCCACAGGCCTTATAGGTCACCTGAGTATCATGTAACAACTTTCCAGCGATTGTATTTGGTTCGTGATTTAATCCCAATGCCAAGAAATTCACAAATTTTGAAAGAGGCACATTGCAAGAGCAGATTTCAAAGCAGATTTCAAAGCATTTATTTCTTTTAAGACCTAAACAATGTCGCTGGAATAGCTACCACGTGCAGTTTTAAACCTGTGGGGAGGAAAATCATTCACAGACAGATACTTTTGATTGAAACGAATTTATAATTATCTCACCAGCATGTCATTGTGCAACAGAGTCGTCAGCATTTAATTTTTTCTTTGAACGCGTAAAACATTTTGAATGGCACTCTTATCGATGAATTTTACAATAAACCAAGCTATCTTTGCAGATCTAGCTCAAGTTCATTTTAAAACCGGAAGTACAAGTTCGTTAATTTGAAATCTCGATCCCGACTTAAATTTGACATCAGTAAGAAAAAAATGTTTTTATTTATTTTTTTTTTTCTGAAAATTCAAACCCTTGAGCGGTGGTTTTGTAAACCTGAAAATAAAATAAATCCTGGCCTTAAATATGTAATTAGATCATTGGCATCTTAACCAGGAGCAAAGGATAAGATGTTCAAAGAATTCATGCATTTCACTATATAATCATAAGAGCCCCACCCTAAAACAAGAACCCCTGACCCAGGGGCCCTGAAATTCACAAATTGGGAAGAGGCAGTCTTATTCAACATAACTATGGACTTGGTTAGTTTATTTAATGCCCAGGAGTAGAGAAGAAGATTTTTAAAGAATTAATGTATTTTCACTATATAATCAATAAAGCCCCACCCTAGCACTAGAACCCCTGACCCAGGGGCCATGAATTTCACAATTTTGGTAGAAGCCACCTTATTCAACATAACTATGTACTTGGTTAGTTTATTGAATGCCCAGGAGCAGAGAAGAAGATTCTCGAAGAATTTATGCATTTTCACTATATAATCCATTTAGCCCCGCCCTAGCACTAGAACCCCTGACCCTGGGGCCATGAATTTCACAATTTTGGTAGAGGACTCAATACTGATTACAGTCATGCAAACAGTTTGAATTCTTGATGTCCAGGAGTAAAGAAGAAGATTTTTTAAGATTTCATTAATTTAACAGGTTTTTGCCCCACCCCTCAGGCCCCAGGGGGGCAGGGACCATGAAATTCACAATTTTTGTCCCCCTTCACCCATAGATGCTTTGTGCCAAATTTGGTTGAAATTGGTTGAGTGGTTGCAGAGAAGAAGCTGAAAATGTTCAATTGTTAACGCACGGCGCACGACGACGGACACAAACAGATAGCAATAGGTCACCTGAGTTTACTCAGGTGACCTAATTAAAAACATTACTGAAAAAATTCTTTACAGAAATTTGCCTGAAATTACTTTAGAAGACTTCAAAGCTGTTAATCTGAAAAACTACAAATGGATACATTTTGAGGTATTCAGTTCTTTTTCAGTTTGCAATAGCATTGTTTTATATCATCAAAGGAAAATAAATATACCCTAATCTGTGTTCTTTTTAACATTTTTAGGGAAGACCAAGTTTCAATACCCCAGCCTATGAAATAGTCCGTATGTTAGCTCACATTGATGAATACAATCACTCGGTGCCTGAATCCGAGCAGGTCCAGACTTCAGTGGAGATAGAAAAACCTGCCAGGCCAGAACTGGGTAAATGCTTCCTATTCTGTCATCATCTTCTCCCCAAGCATTTTCTTGGATGCCAATCATAACAGTAAATTTTCAGTTCAATTTTTCATGAAGATAAAACATTAAAATACAAAATTCAGATCATTAACCAGACAAAGAATTGTCAGTCCTAGTCTTCTGTTCGCAATAATAGTCAACTTGATCAAAATGTAAGAAAGTTACTGAGCTCCAATTTAAACTCTATTTATAGATCAGCTCCTGGACAAAGCTAAGTATGTGTTTGTCAGTAAGGATTACAGTCAGAATCAAGGACTGAGGAGTAAAGAGGAGGCTGTCAGAGGATTCATTAAGAGATGTAGGAAAGGGTAGGTGTACCCAAACCTGGGTATCTCAAGCTCATGTACATCTGTCTGTTAAAGTTCAAAATTCATTTATGTCAAGTTTATATTTTCTAATTTTGATAATATGTTGACTTTGTTAATTCCCTGTAAACTTTTTCGATGTAATATAGTTTACATATAATGAAGCTTTTAAGAGGAATTTCACTATGGTCAAAAAATGTCCTGTTAGAAAGGGAAATTCTACATGATACTACATATTTATTCTTTACCAGAGCTTCAGTCATCTGTGCGTGGGGTGAGGATGGAGCAGCAGCTATGGATGCAGAAGGACATCTGATTACCTCCCCCTGTTTTCCCCCAGAGAGACTGTGTGACACATTGGCAGCGGGGGACACGTTTAATGCGGCCACCATTTTAGCTCTTGCTGAGGGTAGAGACCTGGCTGAGGCCATCACATTTGGATGTAAGGTGGCTGGAGCTAAATGTGGGATGCAAGGCATAAGAGGACTAAAAGATGTTAAATTTTCATGATTATTCATCATATTAATAGTACTATTAAAAATTGTTGTCCAGTAGATCTGAATACCTCAATTGACTTTTATTTGAAAATGTAGATGTATTTCAACCGACTTTTATCAGAAATTAAATCATTCAAGCAGATCTGACATTGTATCTTTTCTGAAAATCAAATGAGTATTGGTAAATATAAAATCTTTTAAACTATTTGATGATCAAGAAACTCCAACATTCATAGAAAAATAATTTATTTGAGTATACTTATCTACATGTAAATTTCAATGCATGATATAATTAATAAGGAAATCTTCAACACCTCTCTCAAGCACTTGTATATTGTTTTCTCACTCACTCTACATTTATACAAATACATTAGACAAATGTCATACCAGACAATACAAAATTGGACGGAATTTATTTTCATGTGCTGTGTACATTGTATGTGATGAGCATATGATCAGTATCACAAAAGTGTGATTCTTGGCTGTCTTGCTTCATTAATATGTAAAAATGGAATGACCCTCCGTTTGTGTCAGTCATTGATACATGTAATCTCAAGTGCCCACAAATCCTAGACTCTCAAACTCAACATAATTTCAACTTTATCCATTTTGAATGTAAAATGTGTACTAGGCATTGCTATGTATTATCAACTCCTCAGAACCAACTCCTTTTACAGTCAGTCATTATCCATATTTTCAGTCATACTGACATACATGTACCAACGTCTCTTTATAAAACCTGTCTATCCAATCCAGTACTTTTATAGTTATAAACTAATTTCACAGAATCTAGCTGAGTTCACTATCATAAAATGTACCACCAGGGTCTGAGGAAAACGAGGAAGCCAACGAGAATGACGATGACGAGGAGAACTTGTACAAGCACCTGTTCCTTGTCCACCCCCTCATAACTAGAGGACAGGGGGTAGATAAACGCCTCCCAGCACACGTCCTGGGAACAGGTGTCATAGTACTTACTGTCCTTGTACCTGTAATAGAAATAAATGTGGTACCAGGTGGGGAAAAAATCTTGTTTCATGTGAAGCAAATATTAAAGGTGGGCAATACATACATGTACATGGAAATAAATAAGTTTCAAAAGCAGTGTATTCATTAAACTATAGAAAACAATATTTTTTTTCATTTCTTTTTCTTCACCAAAAAGCTTTGTAAATTTTTAACCTTGAGTAAAAAAAATTGCAGATATATATAAGAAACAGAGTAAAAACAATATTATTGATCGTTACAGATGTTCCTTATTGATCAACAAATACTGGTAGATATCTGTGGTATATAATTGTCTTATTTTCACCTAAAGTCTCTTATAAAAAAAATTATTCCCCTCACCTTGGCAGTCTCTCTGGTGTGTTGCCTGGTACCAGGATAAATCTTACGGAGCTGGTTACTTCAAATGTTTCGGCATATCCGGGAGTATTGCAGGCATTCATGTCACCAATGGCACACCGTAAATGCCACTCTGACTTCACATAGCTGAAATCATAAAAATATATAAATAATATGTATTCTAAATGAACCAAACTTCAGTGATAATACATGTACAATTCATCTTGGAAAATTATTATGATTTAAAAATAAAAAGTAAATGAATCCTTATTTTAAATACTAAAGCAAAGTTCAAAATTGTTGATTTCACTAGGTTTTTGTTGTGATGAACATAAATAAATATTGAAAAGGATACAAAAATAACTATAAATGCTTCATATAATTTATTGAAACTCTGTACCTTATGCGAGCACCAATGACTTCATGGATTGGAGTGGCATTGAGTTTTCCTGTGATGGCATACATGACATCTAAGTGAATCCCACTGATAATGTCTACACACAGTCCCTGTGCCTCGTACGATAGTTTGCTGTTATTAGTGGCATCATCAACACTGTTCAGGTATCCAGTACACACAGCTGATATATCCTCTCTGTAAGAAAGGGGCACTTGCCAATTTTACTTTTCAGGGAAATCATTTATTTCTTTACAATTTATTTTTATCAATCCGAGAAAAGAAGTATACCTCAGTAAGTCATAGCTCTGCTGCTTTTCCTATATGTCCATTCATGCAAAAAGAAAGTACAGAAAGGCAATACCAACCTTGCAACATCTATCCAGTAGGCTAAATTCAAATAATTGTTGTTACCAAGGCGACCAATCTTGTCAGCTTTCATCAAATTATTCAGTCTATTGATCAAAGTTTTCCTAAAAAAAAAAAAATAACAGAATACTTGTTAAAGACCTTGAAAGAAATTATTCAAGTTATGTGGAATTTTATTTGTAAACTGATTTTAAATGCATTTACATGTATATATATTATTATGAATGAAAGAAACACTAGTTTGTGACATATAGAAAAGTACATAAATTACCTGATATTAGAACAATTCCTGAGGTCTTGAAGAGATAGTTTTACAAGACAGCTGGTAAAAACATCTTGTCCAAATTCAATCAACTTTCTGCCAGCATTAAAACACAAACTATCCGCACCTTAAAAAAAAGAAAAACAAGTATTTAAACAAAACTGTCTCACAAAGGTTGTTATTGAAGGGAACAAGCTTGTCACATGACTTGATTGGGCTCATACATACATATATATACATTTCTTCAATTTTTGTACAAATAGTGTATAGAGGGTTATTTTTCCCCATGTTATTTTCACACTAGAAACATTAGTTTGCCCTGTTTGAAAAATGAATGAAAATGGGGATGAAATTTCTCTGTATACAGTAATTTCTCTTGCCAGAAGATAAATGCACATGTGGCAGGGTGCCTACTCTTTATCCTTACCTGTGTCCCACACCGCTATCTGCTGAGACTGGTTGGTGTTGATGTACAGGAATGTATTCTCTGTCACATTGTTGATCTGGACACCACTGTTCAGAGTTTTACCTAAATTATAGCCTGCAACAGATAAAGTAATAATATTTCTCTGCATAGAAACAGGATTACTGTGCCAAGAGTGTTTCTAGATTGGTAAATGAAAGATTAATAAAGCCTACTTAATACAGAAAAGATTAATGCAGTTATAGGCTTAAAAAAAAAGATGCCCATAAACTTGAAATCAATTATGCTCCAGAAGTGGTAGATACAAAGGCCTGTTTAGCAGTTGTACATGTATGCTCTAGAAGTGGTAGAAACATACACTGACCTGTTTAGCAGGTGTATGTACAAGAAGTAGTATAAGCATGAACACGAGAAGTGGTGGTAGATACACTAACCTGTTGAGCGGTCGTATGCTGTGTTGACTTCCCTGTAGTTATCAGAGGCTATGGTTCCATTTGATTCATACTGATAGTTGAAATTAGCTTCATACTTCTGGGTTATCTCTACAGGGGCTGTAGTTGTTGACAATGGAACATTTCCCAGAATAACGGTCGCATCCAGTTTGACTATCCTAGTGCCTTTCCACTGAAAATCATACTTTACATCTAAGACAACATTCTCACAAACATTGTTTCTGACAAAGGGCACAGGTGGGCGAGTGTACCCATTGTCAAATGAACATCGGGATCCTCTAGTGGGCTCTGTCACATCTACTGGGACATTTTCTACACAAATATAATTTCCACACACATCCAAGCATTCTTGATCAGTAGGCAATGTGAAGTTGAAGAACGTTGATGTTGTGACGTCTCCTATGGATGAAGTATCTTTTACATAACCTGAGAAGTCTGAGGTACAGAAGTAATTAACATTTGTTTCTGTTACAACAGAGTCTGATGGACTGCCCTGGACAGAAAAAGCATTGGGACAGGACGGGTCTCTAGTGGTGGAGGACTGAATGTAAAATAAGGCACTGAATACACTGGCACTGTTACACATGTCTCGGGTCACAGTAAAGGTACAGTCTGACTGTTGGTCCACTAGGTAGCGGACAGGAGCCGTGGTCAGGCACTGACCAGCCAGGATCCTCCGTGGGAGGACGACGGTCCCTATCCTCGCGGCAGCCCCACCCCCTACTGCCGACTCTTTGATGGACTTTACAGACACCCCTGTTTTGTAGGCACTTATTTGAGTTGTGGTCAGGTCTGGACGACTGAAATTATCAATGAAAGTACTCTAGTCTACATGCATGTACCTGTATTCATTTTGAAATTATAAAACCTGCTGAAAAGATTGAATGCTACTTTTACATGCTTTGAAGCATTTGAAAAGCAGTTTTAAAATGGTATATATTAAATAAATAACAAATAATAAATTGCCTTGCAATCATTCTTCCTCAGATGGTTTCAATAAAGTTAGTTAAAGAAACATGAAAAAACGATAGCACACTATGGCCACTCAGTCTCAACATTTTAGTAGAAGTCTAATGCTTTTTAATTCTACCTGTATGAGTAGAAACTCTCTGATGCCACCTTTAGATTCAAAGCTTCAGTATTTCTCAGGGTGTTTGAAGCAGCATAGAAAAATCCAATAAGGGCATTGTATTCCCTCTCCACACACATGAGAGGGAACCAGTCCTCCTTTAAGGGGTGTGAGGATTGACAGTAATACTCAGGGTAGGGGGCAGACTGCCCACCAGGCAGGCCACTGATACAGGCCCTAAAGGAATCCCTGTCTGAAGTGGTACAGTCCTATGTCAGATCAAAAAGATAAAATTAAGAGAGCACTGAAGAATTTCATTTCTTTTCACAAGTATGTCAAGCATTATAATCCTCCGTGAAAGTTTCAGATGCATGTTCTCAACATACAGCTTACTCCACTTATACTGAACTCGCTTATTTTGAAATTCCGCTTATTTTGAAATAGAAATCAATCCCCAGTTTTGCCTCTCATTTTCTTTGCATTAAAATAACGGTTATATTGAAATCGGATATATTGAAATTTCGCTTATATTGAAGCCACTGATCGGTCCCCACAGGTTGTAATGAGTTGTTTTCATAACGGTTATACTGAAGTACTCCCTGGCGGCTGTTGTTACGGTTGGTGACAGTAATTATGCCTGATTGACCAGTTGATAAACAAAGGTGTGAAAAATGAAATTTTCACCTTATGTGTTTTTATACTGCATGCTCTTACGAAATAAAATTCTTCACTGTTAAATTTTTTGCGTCCACATATATAATACGGATATATCGAGACTAAACAGCTAAACGTAATATAGTAACCCCCACAGATCTAGGAAAAAAACATAACTTTGAAATTAAATACGTTCTGTTAATGGCTATTGATATGCCTAAATTCGAAATAACTAAGGAATTAACCTGATTACACTTACGATGAAATACAAGCAGAGTTCAGCAGTACTCAACTGTTTAAGTCCGGTGAATTTTCTTCAAAACGTAAATAAATGCGATCGGGGAATAATAATGAGGTTGAAGATTGTCTTTTCAATGTAACAGAAATAAAAAAAAAATATTTAAACTTTCAAGGACTCATACTCTATGTAAACTGTTTATAGATAAACGATGACAAAATTAATTTGTTCGGGTTTGTTCTTCTTTATTTTAGATCGGGATATTGAACTTGTAAAAATGGTGGCTTCACAATTTCGCTTATATTGAATTACGGATATACTGAAATAATTTGCATGGTCCCCTGAATTTCAATATATCCAGAGTAGGCTGTATATTTTAAATTTAAAAGGTTGATAAAAAGAGCATATATCTTTATTTTAACCTTGAACAATTTGACCTTACACTATCACAACAGCAATCCATGTCACATGCATTCTGGGTAATATCACATGGGCAAGGTGAAATGTTGACAAACGCAGGATTCTTGTATGGTGTTTCTGAGTCCACACTCACTTGAGCTTTAATAAAAATGGTTAAAATTTTATGTTTATCCCATAATCTTTTTTAATGTTATCTACAATATAAAGTAAATCTGCAATTCAAGGGAAAAGATCCTGCAAAAATACCTGCAGCATTTGTCCAATCTATTGTCCTGTTCTTATTGAGTTCAGCCACCACCATTGTGGCGACCTGAAGTTGCCGGTTTGGTAGATTTGTGGTGCAGCAGCTGACTACCACATACTCCCGCACAAAAGATGTGGTAGCCAAGTTCCTCGCCACTTTAATTTGCAGGTAATTATTTGTCTAAAAAACATGAAATATATGCTTCTGATCCAATGAAGTTTTTACACTGCAAATGGTTTAAAATACACGTACATCTGCCACTCTTTGGTTTTTGAGTAACCTTTAGTATTAAAGAGCTACTGTTTCATATACAATACATGTACCAAAATGAATCTAATTTATCTCTGTTTTGACAAAGATCAACATGTTTTAGACAACAGTCTGTATCCTTAGAATGTCCACATATGCATGACAACTCTACACATATGTTGAACAATTTTTGCAATCCATTTCTATATCACGGTACTCACATTCTCTATAGCAGGAGCATTCAGTAGAAACCCCCACTCTGGTATTGATGGTACTAATGTTGTGGATGGAATTGGAGCAGGTGTTGTAGCATTAGGATCAGCTGTAATGTAAATGTAAAGGAGTGAATCCTATGAATTGTAAAAAAGGGATTTTTTATCTTTTTCTTCTCTTTTACCTTGAGAATATACTATACATGTACATGTAGATAAATACACTGTAACACATATTATGGTCAGATATTAATCTTAAAATCAGACCTTATGTGCTCAAATAATGAATAAGACTATGTACGTAACGATAATCTGAAAATTTTGCATCATGAACAATAACAATATAAACCTCTGAAAGTTACTTAATTTTTCTTTTTCTTTAATAAACACATTTTCAGAATTATTAAAAAATAAAACAAAACCTTGTGCCCTCAACTATTAATGAAAGAAATATGAAGGTGCTAACACTCACCAAATGACTGAAAATAAGTTTGTTGGGAGATAAAGACTGCATTACCCATCACTCAATTGTTCTCTTTTGTAATATTTTATGTGAATTATGTTAGGACTAATTTAATATGGTCAATTGAAGCACTGCAAACTTTCTATAGCATTTAAAAATGCTGTTTAATATCACCATAATATAAGAATATTTTGATAAAATTCAAGATAAAAAAGAAGAGGGAAATATAGGGTATGGAGGGAACTGGGATTTTATGGATTGTGATAAAATATGGATTTTAATTGATTTTAAGCAAGGTGAGGCTATTCACAACACTCAAAAAATCACCACTAGCTTAGAGCTGTGCTTGAGTTACTTACCAATTATTTCATATGCAGGAAAATGCATTTGGTTAAAAAGAAACAAAGTTAAACTGCATGAGTAGAATTTAAATTTTTTTTTTTAATATATTATGAAACATGAAAAAAATCTATTCACAAAAAGAGAAAAAAAGACATTCATTGTACATAAAGTCTTGGTTCCAGAAAGAAGTACATGTAATCATAAATCCTTTAACATAGCAATTGCTGCAAATGATATGCAAAATGTTTTAATCACACATGTCAGTCATAAAAAATTCTATATCAATACATATTACATTTAGCAGCACTTATTAATTAGTGTGAATTACTTGATTTAATTACAACAATGTATGGAGGTTCAACATGCACTTCACATCAATAAAATGTCAATCAAATTTTAATGCATTAGAAAAATACAAAATGTTCATTAAATGCCTATATAGGTGGTACCCACCTGATACAGATGATCCTGTGGTGGTGGCAGCAGTTGTGGTAGTGGCAGTCGGTGAAGCACCACATGGCGGGTTGTTAATGGCACCCTGAGCGGCTGCACTAGAGCTGTACAGGTTGGCCTGGCAGGTTACAGGGATAGTAGCGGTTGGAGGGTTTGTGACCAGCAATAACAGCTACAACAGACAGTAAGATATTTTATAAATAAATATCTCCCCCAATGCTTCATTTAAACAATCAGTTATGTGAACATGGTGGATTCATCATATTTTAGTAAAACATTTTTGCATATTCATCAAGAAGGTCTGAACATGAATTAACTTACTTAAGCTGTTTTAGTAATTCTGATATATATCATTATGAATCTGTATTTGGTAGGGATGTCAAAATTGTCAATAATTGATATTCCTGGCAGGTTAAATACATCTTGCATTAAAAAAAAATATGTTTTCACTCTCCTGTCAAAAAGTATAAATTCTATGCCATTATTTTGGAATAAAAACTCATGTGAAGTTCGGTAAATGCACTGCAATTATATTTTAAAACTATTATTGAATGGTATGTATACATCAAATTTGTAATGATTGTTTTTAGAAAATTCAAAAGATTCTTTAGTATGTTCCAGATTAATTGATCGTCTTACTAAATTCTACACTGATAACTCCTACAAATTTATACCAAACAGAACAATTATCTAACGGTGAAATATTAAAAGTAGTTACTTTTTGCTAATTAATTTCATGATAATGATTTTTAATGATATTTACATAAACAAGAGCTCCGTGTGTTTACTTTACAACTGTGTCCTTACAACAATACAAGTGATTGTAAGTACTGGAAACAATTATACTACTAATTAAGTGAACCAATAAATAATTAAATAAATTACTCAGATAGATACACTCTTCAAAACTTAAAAGGTAATCCAAGACGAATGTTTTTTTTTTAAATTTTGTACAAACTTTATTTAATTTCTAATAAAACTTGCCAGGTTTTTCTCTCATTTTAAAGCTTGTATACTTAAAAACGAATATTCGAATCATAAATTCATATTCGATATATATCATTATTCGAATATTCGAATATTCGTTGACATCCCTAGTATTTGGCCAAATGCAACCCTTTTTTTAGTGAATCCTAGAAAACTAATATAAAGAATGTTCAAGAATCAAAAATTTTTAAAGACGATTCCTATTTCTACTCCAACCCAATTTACTGATTATGACATAACATGTCCATAATATTTGCTTAATAGAATATACCCTAGGCTTTTATATTCAGCACCTACCCCAAATTTTGTGGCTGTTGTCGTGAAGGGAGGAGGATAGAATGCTAGATTAGGTTCATTCATCTGGAACACAACTGAAGGTCCTGTAAGCAAAAATGGAAATATTTTTTTAAAATGAAATTTCTTCCTTGAGTGACGCTGACAATAAAAAATTGTTATAGTTTACAACCTTGTAAAGATTTTTTTTTGTTTCCTATGATTTCCTTTTATATTTCAGATATATGACACCCTGTATTATTTTTAACTGACACACATGATAAAGTGTTTTAATTTTAGGTCACATGGGGACCAGTCCTTCGGATGAGACCGTATAAATCGAGGTCCAATGTCACAGTGGGAGCTGGGATGAAAAAGATCCCTCCTTGCTCAATGGCCCTCAGTGCCGAGTATAGGACAAAATTTGCAGCTCTCCACCGGCAAGTGGTGGCATCTCCATATGAGTGAAAAATTCTCGAGATGGATGTTAAACAATATAAAGTCAATCAATCAATCAATTTTAGGTTACATGTGACTGTCAATATAAAATTTGGGTCCAGTATTATTATTATAAGGTTACACATGATTACCTGTGTAACTTTTGGCTACAAATGATTACCTGTATTGTGTAGGTTACACATAATTACCTGTATTGTGTAGGTTACACATGATTACACTGTACCTGTATTGTGTAGGTTACACATGATTTATACCTGTATTGTGTTGGTTACACATGATTACCTATATTGTGTAGGTTACACATGATTTATACCTGTATTGTGTTGGTTACACATAATTACATGTATTGTGTAAGTTACACATGATTTATACCTGTATTGTGTAGGTTACACATGATTACCTGTATTGTGTGGGTTACACATGATTTATACCTGTATCATGTTGGTTACACATGATTACCTGTATTGTGTAGGTTACACATGATTACCTGTACTGTATCCTGTTGCAGAACATAGGACTTGTACAGGGGTTCCTACTGTTGTAAGTGTGAAGTCCATCTAGAAAGTAAATACAGTAGATCACACGAGAGAAATTTTTCATAAGCAATTTTGTTATTTTTTTAGCAACTTTTGTTAAAAAAGTCTAACCTGACAAATATTTTTATCATCTTTGCAGACAAATGCTTAAAAATTAAAATGTCAAAGAACTTTATTCGGTAATAACCATTATTATATGATTGAATAATTTCCATCTCTCTGATTGGCTGAGATCCGACTATGTTAGAAAAATATTACGTTGTATTGACCTGCACGTGACGTTCCAGGTCAATACAAGGATTTATTTCCTCTACATTGATCTAAAAATAGATTGGGAAATTCCAAATTGATACAAATTGTTTTAGAAAGCTATTTAAACGACTATGATTTTTATTTTCAAGTGAACAAAACATAAGCGAATATATATATCTTAGGTGAGGGTGGTAAGAGGGGATGCAGGGACTGCCCCTCCAACACTTGTACTGAACAACAATTTGTTTTTTACTTTTTGGCAGTCAGTTTTCCCTGATAATACTTCTTCCTTTCAAAATCTATCCTATAAAAAAGACTGACATTATATATTTCTTTCATGGCATCTAAAATTGATTTTAAAAAAACATTTCAAATTGATACGACAGGTAAGGTTTATTCACATTTTAATTCCGCTTCTCTCTTGTATTTGGCTAGGACTTAATTAAATGCAAACAAGTAATGAGCTGTATTATTTTATCAGTGAATCATATAATAAAACAATTATTGCTGTTTTTTCTGTCAATACAATGATTTAGCCATCTTCGAAGTACAATATTCACCTCGCCCTTCGGGCTCGGTGAATATTGTACTCCTCAGATGGCTAAATCATTGTATTGACCTCAAAAACCAGCAATAATTGTATAATATTTGCCCCCCAAATCAAACTCTGACGGAGAAATATTCAATTATGTTTTTAAACAGGGGGATATATGCCGACTTCAAAGCACTGAATATTTTCATATTAAGCAATGACGTGTTTGAAATGATGTCACAAAAATGATGTAAATTTAAAATTTCAATGATTTAGACAGAAAAATGTATTTATCACGTCAATATTTTGAGTAAAAGTCACCGAGCGCAGACCTGATCAGGCTCAGTATTTGATATTATGTGTAGAATGATAATATCAATGAAATATGTAAATACTGTTCCTGAGCAAACTTGCGCACTATAAATTTTACAGCTGAAATTGTTGAAATTTTGTTCATTTTGTCCAAAAAATGATATAAAATTGGACTAGTTTGTGACGTCAAAAAAACAAAAATTGTCAATAAACTACTTTGAAACTATAATATGTTCTGTTAATTTATATTTCTCATACAATTTATAGAATTCAGCACATTTCAAGAATTTCAAGAATTTTTCAAAATTTGACTTTTGTGGGGGCAAAGATATGCAATATACCGCATATAGTTCTTTAATTCAAATGTAACATTCCAATATGAATTTCAAACATAGGTAATCAAAGATTACGAAGCTCACCTCGACGAATGTTATCAGTGTAAGTAAAGCAAATCGCACATCATATTTTCTTAATAGTTGGTATTTACCCCAACAACAACATTCTTGCAAGTTCTGTTTAACCATTTAACCATCTCTAGATGCATCATGCATGCAAGTTTGGTTCAGGTAGGGCTTATAGTTACTTGAGAATGGACTTGCTCCTAAAACTTCAACCTGGGAGGACGACGCTGGGGGTATAGCAAAAGCTAGTGTTGTCACGATGATCGATTTATAATCGATGATCGGTCGGAAAGGCTGTCGATTTTAGACAATCGATTGGAGATTATAACAATCGATTAATCGGTAGATTTCAGCACATATCTTTTTTTTTAGTTTTCTCACTTTTATTTCAAGAACAGGCTCTTGTTATCAAAATATATATCTTCCAAATGTTGTCCTTTACTATTTTAAAATACATGTACTTGAAATCTGTTTAAAATAAATCATAAGATTTGATATTTGTATTTCTAAACTGAAGAAACTAAACTACTTGTATAAATGAAATAAATTAGTTTTCAGTATTTAGGGGAATTCACCTGTCATTTCATACGGAATCACAAGGATTTGCAATATTAAATGTCTTATGACAGTTTAAAAAATTAATTCCATATATATTTTAGATGATCATGTAAATTAAAACCTGATCTGTAAATGCTTATTTTCCCCAGGCCAAGTAATTCCTAATCATGCAAAAATCTGTATTACAGAAATTGTTAATTAAACTGCATACATACTGGTGTCTCATAATATTGCGGTACTTAATAGACTCTTAGTAGAGTCTTATCTTAATATTTAAAGAAAAAAATGTGCATAGGTTACCGATTCGATTATTGGCCGATGATCAGTTGGTTAGTAGGGCTGGGTATTGAAAGAATTTTTTCGATACGATACATATTGCAATACAGAGGTGCGATATGCGATACATATTGCCGATACAGACAAATGAGAATACACTATTTTTTGCATGTTGTTTTAAAGAGGTGATAGTATTTTTTTATTAAAGCATAAATTTACAATAATAAAACATTTTAAATTCTTGTTGTTTTTTTTTTTTCATTCTCTTTGAATGCACAAGTCAAGTGTATGACAGATTAATGTTATTTGCCCATATTTTTCTTCAGAAAAATTAAGGCATCGATCCACTTAGTCAGGTTTCAGACAAGTCCTTGTGCATGTAAATATGTTGCCACTGGTGCTAAATACTCGTTCTGAAGCCACAGACGACATCACAACATTGACCTGTTTGACTGTGTTGATACTTCACTTGATGTCGTATTCGTGGAACTAATGGCAGATAAAATATTTTACCAAATTGCTTTGAGTTAAAATAAACTATGACTTAAAAATTCTGATTGATATCTTATTATCGGTTTACATTCCATGATTTTTTTTTCGACGCGCCATTTAACCTATCGGAATTGCCTCCAAGTTTCACAGTAGCAAACAGGTCAATGTTGCGATGCCGTCTGAGATGGTTAATAATATATAAGCTCGTTGTTCCACCAGAACTTGCGACTTCTTGTTGACAAATATGATTACATTTTGCCTTTTTGCTGCTAACTTTTACGTAGCGACCCTACACTTTTGACATGTTTACATGCGTTTAAACGATTTTAGATAAGTCGTTCGTATTATTCGTCACTTTGATGTTTTTCTTTCTCTTAATTAAACGTTGAAATAATCGAGCAATACGAAGCATCTCTGTATCGGTTATCGTATTGCTAAAAAATATCGATATATACCCAGTGATTGGGATAAGCACGCGCCCTGCGCCATAGTCGCATTAAATTTTAAAATGTCACATTAAAATTAAAAACGCTGTGCCATTGTGGCGCATAGAAAATCATGCACTACATACTTTTAAACTTTGAGCTTTCCCCCAAGCGCTTGTCTGTCCCACAACAATCGCTGTCAATTTACGCTTGAAAAAACAGTATTTAATGTCGTTTATTTAAAGCGTTCTTATGGCTTTCTTTTCTTCAGTATCTAATCAAACAGTTACGTGTTTTCTGATTGGTTAACGCGCACGAAATAAACTGGTGTCAGGAGTGCAGCATGCTGCCTAAGAAAGTAGTACAGTGGAGCCTCATTTATCCGGACGCTTTCGTTCCCAAGCAAATTGTCCGGATAAGTGAAGCGTCCGGATATCTGAATTCTATTGATTTCTCTTCCAGGTATACTGTATTTGTATTGTAACTCTTATACACTGTATATAAAGAAAGATAAATGCTATCATATTGAAATAATAATTTATTATTTTATGGACTATATCTTTAGTATACATCAGCACTACTTTTAAACAATTACAAACTGCCTTAAATCTTGCAATGTAGAACGTGGAAGATCTACTTTGCGTTGGCAGATTTTTTTCTTTAAGCTGGCGGAAATGCCGACTCGCGCTCTCTTTGCCGGCGGTGTAGACATGGTTGTAGCTGGAGAGCAGAATGACAAACATTTGATATAACGCTGCTGATATGGGCAGATTCTTAATTACCCAGCTTATTTTTACTTTCTACTTTCTATAAATTGATGAACATAGCCAAGCGAATTCTCTTATTTGCAGCTTTGATTACACCCAATCGAGCTGTCAGTATCGAGTATAATTTTAATTTGAACACTCATCCACGCTAACTCTGACATATTAGAAATTCACATAGTAATCATCCCAAGCGAAACCATTGATTGTCTAAAATTATTCAAATTTGATTTAATGTTTTAAGTTTTTTTTCGATGATAACTGCCACCAATCTACAGATGAAAATTACAATACCGGTTTGTTTGTGCACATGTGTAGACAACGAGATTATGATACTATGTCGTCCCGTCTATAAATAGAAAAATATTTAAAACCAGCTCTGTACTAAAATCGTAAATATCTCGCAGATAACAAATAACTGAATAGAAAAATTGTTTTCTGTTACCAACACAGTTAATTGTTTATTTTCACTTGTGTACCGATCTCTCGTATATTATGACCATATCCACTAATTAGCATGCTTAATCTGTGGATTAATCATCGTAAGTCATTCATATAACAGGTCACAGGTGATCGTCTTGTAAAAACAATCAATCCGGCCAGTGTTTTGATAACAATTATCACTCAGTTCAGGCGTGAATGTTGACAAGAATGGAAGTACAAACTAAAATTTACCGTCCGGATAAATGAACCAAATTATAACGTAAAAGTACATTTCGAATGGAGATGACGGTCCGTTCCCGAAGACGTCCGATATCTGGCGATATCTGTCCACTGTACCTCGTACCGATAAAAGGCAGACTTTTCTTGATTATAACAATCCTAACAAACAGAATTCAAGTAAATCGGTAAAAAATGACTCGGAGGAAGTATAACATCCTGACAGAACGAATGGAGATGACGGTAAGACAGATGATGTAGTCTCGGAGGAAAAACCAAAACGAAAATTTAACATGTGGAGGGAAGCGGTATAGATCTAAACCAGGCTTTAAATCATCTTAAAGATGTCAAACATAGGACACAAAAAATAAAGAATTGAAATTAAATTGCAGTGTTTATTTATTTTCTGACACTTGTGAATTTAAATATACTAATTTTGTGTCCTTTAAGGTCGTCATTCAATGATTTGTCCATTTCAATTTAAGTAAAGTCAACTGAAATTCTAACAACAACTAGGGGAAAGTGTATATTATATTCATTGCAAGTTTTTAACTAGGAAATGTCCCATTAAAAAGTCTGTTTGGCGCATTGAATTTTGAAATGTTACATTGGCACTGATTTGGAGTGTGCCATTGTCACATTTACTCCCTAGCTTATCCCAATCACTGTATACCGATTACCGATATATTGATCCAGCCCTATTGGTTAGGGTCAACCAATACTACCGATTAATCGATTCTGATTTTCAACCGATTTGACAACACTAGCAAAAGCTCATCTGGACTTCGTCGATGTGAGCTAAAAATCTCTATTAAAACACTCATTCTACTTTTTTATATTCAAACAAATTTGGTAAAAGTTTACCTGTAACCTAGTTGTACCAACTTGTGCCACATTATTTGGAATGTTTAGAACCATGGTGCCATTCTCTGAAGTGAAAAGTATATTAATTTTGCAATCCATATTTTGAAACTTAAATGAAATGGAATTTCCATAATTATTAAATTAATATCTCTTCCATACAGAAACGTAGACATACTGATCCCAATATGTTCATATTCTCTACAGACAACATAAAAACTGAAACAATTGAACTTTGCAAGAAATTTAAAGTATCTATAAGAGTGTGTATACTGTAATGCAATAAGAAATACCTCTGGTACAGCTTACTGTTACTGCAGTGGTCACTTGGTCACTGAAATTAACAGTTGTAAATTTCAAGAGTGAAAAATAATGTTTTTCTTTTCTTCAAGAAATATATATTTCTACTATTTAAGGTTCATAATCTGTTTGCTCATGCTGAATATAAAATACTTTGTTTAAAAAAAATAAGGATTTTCGAAATAGACATGAATTTATAATTAAAGCGCAAAAGATTTCAGCATACTCTGACAAAACAAAATATTACAGAAAAGTAATTCCACTAATTCGTAACTCACCTGAATTCCACTGTAAAACTTTGTTGGGCAGTATTTGTATTCAGGACCTTTATAGTATCCTCTGCACAGATACTTATTGTAGGGGGACTTATTACAGTAAGAGAACTGAAATATTTAAAATTGCATACGTTTATTTTTCTCATTCATAATTTTCAGCTGTATTAACAAAATTTTTGAAGATTTCAGTATTATGGGAGATATTTGAATTATGTCTTTTCAAAGGGAATGTGCATTTGAAAATCGAAACCAAAATCTGCTATAAAAGAATCTGGTAAATATACAGAGATAGTCAAATTCTGCTGAGCAGTGTGTTTTATAAAATAACATTTGAAAATTTACGATTCTCTACTCCTTGAGCCTGCTCTTGTAAACTGGTTCACTCCAGCTGTGACAGATTCTCCAAAGCACTGAAATGCGGCAACCCTGCCAGTCTGTAAATTACTGAAAAAAGCATAAGACCAGAAAATTATTTTTACCAATTCTAATTAAACACATTTTACCGATGGCTATAATTAGAATTTAAGTTCATTTAGCATTTTTACGAGAAAAAAATTACACACCATTAAAGTATTCTCAAATCTTCCTGGCAATTCTTGTAAAATTCAATCAGCAAAATATTCTAACTTTGTCAGCAAATCATTAATAATATCTGATGGTTAATTTTACTTAATCTGATTTTTCTCTCTTTACTGAAAAATATCTTTCATTAAAAGTAAATTTTTAAATACACACTTCATTTGAACGGTTCCACTGCGAGTTGTATCTGACAACCGTCTGGTTGAGAATGTTGCACTGCTGAAGCCTCTAGTAGTGACCAGCATCTCACAAGTAACATCAACCTGTTAAAATTAAAAGACAAATTAAAATGAAGATTTTTTAAAAAAGAAGACAAATCATTTAAGAAATGAATTTAATTTTTGAAGATTCATGAAGTTATTCATGAACTACAATGCTTTGTGTTGGCATATTTAATGAAGTGTGTTAGCTTTTCATATATCGCCCGTTATATGTAAACTAAATCAATTAACACAGAGGATAAGATTAATATAACTTACATTGCCATTGATACTTTCACTGACTGTATTATTCACAGCATCAATATAAACAGGAACATCTATGGTCACTCCACCAGCTATGCTGTTAGTTACAGTAAAAGTTGGAAGTGATGAGTTATTTGGAACTCCAATATACACTATCCCGGTTCCTGAAAATATTTAGTAAGATTTAATGTTTAATGTCATTTACAGCACATGTATCATGCATGGAATCCTTTAATGGTACAGAAATCTGTATTCATTTACCAAACTAAGTTTCGCTGAAAAGATAGAGCAAATCATAGGTTGTTGTGTTAATAAATAATCATATGAATCAAATAAAAAGGATTTGTTTAAATCAGGGCCTCATGAACCATGATGGGTATGATATACAACTATTTATCATGATTACACATAAATGCAGTGCTGCATAATACAGATTCCTGACATGGAATTTAGCTCATTGTGTTTTCAAGTACAAAAAATACATGCAATGGTATGGTGAAAATGCCACTCTCCAGACACATTACAATATACATAAGAGAATCTGACAACTCAATGATTAGTTTTATTACAATATAGTCTGATGCACGACAGACATAATATGGGTTTTATATTCAAATCTTGTCAGATGTTTTCAGGTATTGTCCTAAGCATGCTGCAACTTGAAAATAAAAATCATTTGCGCAAATAAAATGTGAAGAACTACCTTGACTATATGACTCTCCAAAAAGGATTGCTAACATAAACAGAATTACAGAAGACATTGCTTAAAATTAAATGCAGGTACGTCAAATCCAGTAAAAATTCACATTGCACAGTGTTTTCGGCTCATATCTTCCGCCATTGTTAAACAATCCGGTATTTCTGAGCGAATTTAGCACAAGATGTGTGATTGGTCGAATTTTTCTAAATAACCCAATCAAAAGTTTTGATTCAGAGACGTATGGCGAGATGTGGCAAGGGGAGGTCACTCAAAGGCGACTAAGAAAGCATGGAAGTTAATAAACACAACTTTGAAGAATATTTACCTAAAATAAGTGAATCAATATCAAAATCGGAATTTATCGGTAAGATCTAATATCCCTTTCTCAAATATATTCAGATGGAGTCCCGGAATGTTTACAAAATGAATACAGCATACAGTTATATCGAGGAAATTCGAACGTATATAAGTCTCACCTGAATAACACTGAAGACTAATGATTTTTTTTATCTATTAGCTCTTGAACGATAATAGACCTATTTACGTAAACGAAGTTGTGAAGATCTTTGTATGTCGATTTATTCGATAGAATCAAAATATCTAATGACGATTCTTCTATTCAAACATGTCAGATTCTGATTTTTTTTTCAGCTATAGATACAGAGTTTACAGGATTAAATTTGGGCGATGGAACAAAGAATAGGTATAAATTAATTTCAGATTTTTCCATTATATTTATACCACAAAGGCATTTAAATTACACTGCTTAAAAGCTAGTCTAAGTTATTTTAGGACGGTACATGCTTTAATGCCTTTATTTTTATTTATTGATGATTTTTAGCTTACCTTGACAAAGTCAGGATGACCTTATGCTATTCCCTTAGCATCAGTTTTTGCATCCTAGTTAAAGTTATCGTAACTTGACCAAACTTGCATGAATGGTGCATCTAGGGATAAACAATTTACGGTAACAGTACTATAGATGCTTCAAATGCTGGGGCTCATCTAAAGTTTCCAGATGATTTACCAGACCAGGTTAAAAGTTTTGAAGCAGTTCCATTTCCAAGTATTCATAAATTCTACCTAAAATACAAAACTTTCATGGATGATGCATCAAGGGATGGACACTACCAGACATGATCTAGATGCTTTATCTGTCCAACATTTTCCAGATGAGTGATTTCTAGCTGGCTAGTACCAAGTAACTTTAAGCCCCGCCTAGACCAACATTGCAATGATGATGCATCTAAGGATGCACTCTATCAGGCTTTGGATCCTGGATCTGACATACTTTTCCATATTTTTTTTTCTTTTTGAGTAGCTCTGTAACTATTGTGCCTGTTTTGATTAAATTTGCATTGATGATAAATGTAGGGATGGACACTTCCAGATTTGCTTCAGAAGCTGGATCTGACGTATATTTTCCAAATGAGTGACCAGGTCTAGGTTATAATATAGGAGCGTGTTTATTCCAAAGTAACTATAGGTCTACTAAAACTTAACTTGCTCAGTTATGAATCTCAGGTTACACATTAACTTACAAAATTAATTGTGAGATTTGCATACATATTGCAAATAAAATATTCATTCAATTTGAATATATTGTTTTATTTTTATATGCTTTAAAATAAATCATATTAAAGTAGTGTTTTGAAGTCAAGAAAAGTCCTTTTTCAAAAAAATATTTTCAACTCACAGAATATTTGTCTTAACCATTGTATGTAATACTATTTCAGCTTGTTTGACTCCATAGAAGATCGTTACAGCAAACTTCGGGAAAGTTCCAAACAGTTTACAATCAGTCAGATAGGTACAAATTCTTAGCACTCATTCTTACTTTATGATGTATGCATTTTTTAGTGATCTGAGAATTCAAGTAAAGATATTTTTGGTTTCTTTTTAGGAATCTCAGCATTTGTAAAGAAAAATGACAGGTAATGATAATCACTAGTAAATAAGTATACAGAATTGTGTTTCAATACACAATGTACTTATTTGTTTATTTACAAGTAATAAAGTGCTACCGTACAAAATATTTTTCTCAATTTCCATTCACTATATGTTTTACATTATGTATAAGAAGTATTTGTACAATGATTTTGTCCATTCAGTAGGTATGTGGCCCACACTTACAATATGTACCTCTTTCCGGCTGCCTTTGGCCCAATTGATGTCAGATTCATGGTTCAGGTAAATCATCAGACTCCTCAGAAGTTAATCACTGTATATGACAATATATAATTGTAAGAATATTTACAATTACATTACAAATTCTCTGATTTTAACAGACATGATAGAGAAGTGATTTTTGTAGCTGTATAGATAAGAAAAATGGCAATGTATGTACAAGTATATGTTTGCATAAATTTTTTTTATTCATTTCAAATTAGTATTTAATATTTACGTTATTTATAAAATATTATTTTATTTTTATTCAGGCATCAAGTTTTGAATTCCAAAGACGGTATGATTTTGATTTTAACAAGGTGAGTTATAGCTTTTTCAAAATGCATATTCTTATTTTAGATGTAAAATAAAGCTGCATCCTGTTGTGTCTTAGGTTTTGAATGTTGAAAAATTCTATCTTTTAAGTATGTGTATGAGGGTATATCATTTATGAATGAAGATCAAGAAAAACAACTCATGGCATTCTTAAAGAGAAGGGAGATCACTGCAGGAGTGGAGAGGTAAGGGGCTTCCACCTTAAAGTAAAATGACGCCCCAAGATTATGTCAATTAACACAGACTTTGCATGAAATAAGATCAAAACCATAAGGTTGGTATTCTGTATGAAAACAAAATGTCTATAAAAGTCTTGTATCCCTTCATATAAAAGTCTGATTTAATAATGATGACTTCTAAAAGAAATCTAGCTTATATTTTTAAAGTAATTTTATCACAGCTTGTGGTTCAAAACTTGGCAGATACTAGTATTGATATATAAACTTGAGCAAACCATTGATAACTTTAGATTAAGTATATACACACTGTTTTCAGGGACATTGATGAGAATCTTGTACAGGATGTTTGTTCTGAAGTGGCAGAGTGGTACACAAAGGCTGAGGTCGGGGATTCACACACTATTCTTAAATATGATGGTATTTATTCTTACCTTAATTATTTTTATAATTTTTACAAGTGAGCTTTTCTGATCACAATTTGTCCGTTGTCTGTCGTCGTCATCGTCGTCGTTGTTGTCGTCGTCGTTGTCGTCGTAAACTTTTCACATTTTCATCTTCTTCTCAAGAACCACTGGGCCAATTTCAACCAAACTTGCTACAAAGTATCCTTGGGTAAAGGGGATTCAAGTTTGTTCAAATGAAGGGCCACGCCCTTTTCCAAGGGGAGATAAACATGAATTAGAGAAAAAATAATGGCATTTTTAAAAAATCTTCTTCTCAAGAACCACTGGGCCAGGAAAGATGAAACTCACCAGGAATCATCCTCAGGTAGTGTAGATTCAAGTTTGTTCAAATCATGACCCCTGGGGGTAGGGTGGGGTCAAAATGGCCGATGAAAATTTTACATAGGAATATATAGGAAAAATCTTTAAAAATCTTCTTCTCAAGAACCACTGGGCCAGGAAAGATGAAACTCATGTGGAATCATCCTCAGGTAGTATTGATTCAAGTTTGTTCAAATCATGACCCCCGGGGGTAGGGTGGGGCCAAAATGGCCGATCAAAGTTTTACATAGGAATATATAGGAAAAATCTTTTAAAATTTTCTTCTCAAGAACCACTATGCCAGGAAAGATGAAACTCATGTGGAATCTTCCTCAGGTAGTGTAGATTTATGTTTGTTCAAATCATGACCCCTGGGGATAGGATGGGGCCGAAATGGCCGATCAAAGTTTTACATAGGAATATATAGGAAAAATTTTCTTCTCAAGAACCATCGAGACAGGAAAAATGAAACTCCTGTGGAATCATTCACAGGTATTGTTGATTCAAATTTGTTTAAATCATGACCCCCCGAGGGTAGGATGGGGCCAAATGGTCGATAAAAGTTTTACATAGGAATCTTTAAAAACCATTTAAAATCTTCTTTTCAAGTACTTCAAAGCCATGCTTAGTGTTATTTATAGGGAATCATCCACAGGTAGTGTAGATTCTAGTTTGTTCAAATCATGACCCCCTGGGGGTTAAAATTCAATCCCCCCCAGTAACTTTCAGTTCTGATCTGATATGTGCTTTTTCCTAGCCGATTGCTCAGGTGAGCGATGTGGCCCCTTGGCCTCTTGTTTTATTCAGTCCTTTTTGAAGATCCATTAGATTTCTGAAAGGGAAATGTGGAATTTTAAAAACATTTTCATCCACTGAATATTTTCTCCTTTATTTCCTCAGATAAACCCAGAGATAAACCATAGCTGTCTCTCAGTCAGTAACCAACTAAGCATATTATCTCCTATACAGTGGCTGTATGATCAGTTAAATGCACATTGCATGCATATCAATAATGAAATTTTAATATGCTGAATCCTACATTAAATGAACATTCATAATCAATAAAATGTATTTCTTTGTTTAGTTAGTAATTTTAAGCTTGTCGACTTTTTTGGGGGAGGGAAAGGGGTGAGCATCAAGATTCAAAATAAAGATTTTACAAGACCGCTCCAAGGTATTTTTTTTTCCAAAAACAAATATATTACATGAATTATGATATTTAACATGATGATGATTGTTTTTATCTACTAGGCACAAGAAAGGTGAAATACAACTATGTCTTCCACAATGAACTCCGCAGTAGATTCGATGACATCTGGACATCAACTGATGCTGACAAAAATGTAATTACTCTCTCTCTCTAGGGCAAAATGTTTTATTTCTCTTTAAAATGTATTACGCTACATCATGGCATCGTAATTAAGAATGTCTTTAAATACTGCTGCCATCAATTTTGTTAAAACAAGGATTTGGATTTGGGTCTCGGAGGGGTGCTCACTCCCTAAGACAAAAAATTATAACTAGGTATCATTTTGGTGGGTTGTGGTACATTCTGGAAGCCTTTTCTTCATGTTTTTTAATCAAGTAAACAATATCAAGCAGGCCTTTATTTAAATAGATGAATAATGAGCTTGTTTTGTTTTCAAAAAAAAATAATGAAAAAATATCTTAAAGGATTTTCCAAAAGTGGATGGGGGTTATTGCCCGCAAT